GAGTGTAACACTTACATTATCAAGTTAGAATTGTAATTACACTCTAGTGTCATCTTTTTTCAACTTCTTTTTTGAATTTACTCCATTATCTTTCTTATTACTCCAGAAACATCAAAGCATAACATGATTTTATTGGATTCAACTAGCATTACGAGCTTATCTGTAGCAGGCTATGGAAAAATATGGAGAACCAGTAATTGTCAAATACAGATGCATATTGTCAGTGTAAGTTCTTGATCAGCGAATTGTTTTATCGACGAATATGGAAAGAGAAACGCGAAATCTCACACGGGAAGAATGTGCTCAAACATTAATATTGTTTGAGGAAGGTTGGACTTACCGAAGAATTGGTGAACGATTTCAAGTAAGTCACACAACCATTTCACGAGTCATACAAAGACACAGAGAGACTGGAAATAATGGTCGCAGGCCAGGACAGGGAAGGACTCGAATAACAACTCCGATTGAGGATCGATTTTTAAGACTGTCTGCATTAAGACAACGTTTTGTAACAGCTCGGACACTCCAAACTCAGCTTAGAAATGCTGATGATTCACAAGTTTGTACAGAAACTGTTCGTCAGCGACTAAATGAACATAATTTGAGACCTAGAATTGATGCTCGAGGTCCAGCTTTAAGTAGAGATCATCGGAGAGCGAGGCTAAATTTTGCCTACTACTATTGTTTAATTTGTTTCTCTGCATTCTGTTTCGTTTTTTCGTTGTTAGATTTGGATGTTAATTTTCCATAAAATCATGTTATGCTTTGAATTGGTGTTTCTGGAGTAATAGGAAAGATAATGGAGTGAATCCAAGAAAGATATGTTGAGAAAAGATGAGGCTAAAGTGTAATTACAATTCTAGCTTAATGATTCAACTGTTGCACTCTACAGGGTATTGTAAACTTCATAAAAAAAAACACGCTACAATTGCTACACCCGGTATTCATAGAAAAGAGGTTTCAAAGCGAATACAAATTGCACACCATTGTTCATTCAAAGCCAAATTGTACAAATCGGTACGTAGTTTTGACAAAAATATACCTCAAACTTTTGGGTATTTGTTGGTGGTGCGTTAATTCCTGGGAGAAGTGTATATCTTAACAGAAACAGAAACGAATCTTGCCCATCTTCTTCAATCCAAATTTTTTTTGTACGCGCGAGTTTGTACAATCCCCAAAATGGCGTCCGAAAAAAGTAACTCCACTTCTGACTTTTGTCAATAGTGTCAATTTATTAGGTTAAATGACGGTTGAAAATTTATTTAGGGAATTTTCGTGTATTCTTTATTCGTGTCAATTTCTAACAATTCATGGAGTCAATACAACCAATACAGGACAAGGGGCCAGACTATTTCCATTTTCATAAGATTCAACAACGTATGGAACGTATGTATTGATACTGTATGTACCAGTCTGATTGTTATTAATTCAAGGTATGTATAAAGAGTTAAACATTTATAGCTTTCTAGGTATAACCATTGTGAAGCAGAAATATCAATGCTTTTTCATACAATCTTTGTTGATTTCATCGAATATATCAATGTAATGAAACATTGTTTCCATATGTAGTCTTTCAAGTTGGTTACCAACCATGCTCAGACCTTTAGGAGTTCAGTTATTTATATTTTTTCAGAGTTGACTGTTGCCTTCCATAAAAACTAGAAGAATACAAGATACATGTTTAGGGCAATACTTCAGGATTGTTCATACTATTCACCCCGATTCGACCTCGGTAACGTGAGCACTCCTTATAGAAGTTATTTTAGCTGATTCTGCAAATTCAAAGAAACATTTGTGAAGGAGTTGCTGTTATATATCTGGTGAGTGATTTTGAAACTAGTGAAAATTGATCAAGTGAATTTAGTTTTTCCTAAACTGTTAGTGGGTTCCAAATGTTCTTAAACTTCAAGTGTATTTTGCAAAAAGGCTAATTTTCTGCATAATTGGTTAGTGACTTGATTGTAGTAACTTTGATATTTTGAGAAACATTTCAAATGAGAACTGAAAACAGATCAATTTGTTTTCAATATTTTTTCAATTATTGGTGAATATATATGTGTTTGTACAGGGTGTTTATGTATATTTTGATACTTAGAATTTGCCAAAAATGTGCCTATTTTTTATTCTGAAACGGTAAGATATGGAAATTTTAAAATGTATACTTTATTAACAAACATTCCTTCCTTTTCAGACTTAGAAAAGGGTTCATCAAAATCAGCACAAAAATTGGAATACAATGTGATAATATTAAGAGCCGGTTTTTCAATTCCTGGTTTTAAGTTATAGGTAGCTGACTGTAACTTGTAACTTAGTCAAAGTTCTAGCTAACAAATGATGCGTTCATCGGATATTTGACTGAAGGCTAGCAGACTGTCAGCTAGCGATATTTTTGGCAGTGTTGGCAGTGCTGATTTTTCAGGGAGCATTTCTGATTGGCTGTTAAAATAACCCATTGATACCTGCTGAGATAGATAACCTCACTTTTTGTGTTTCGCGTTTCTGTCGGGTTTGATATTGATAATAGACTGGTATGAATTCATTCGAAATGAATGAATCTCAATATCCAATAACTTACCAGAATTCAACAGTCTAGACTTTAACGAAGATGATGGTAATTCAGTATCAATAAAATCAACAGACAAAATAAAATATCTTGGTATTTATATAGACAGTCACTTAAAATGGCAGTACCAGGTGAATTCGGTTGTACAGGAACTGAGAGGCATAGTGTATAAATTCAGACAATTAAAGCATTTTTTGCAATATGATCAACTGATCTCAGTTTACAAATCATTGGTAGAATCAATCCTTTCTTACGGAATAATAGGATGGGGTAGCGTAGGAAGCTCGTATTTGAAGCCACTAGAAAGCATTCAAAAAAAGATAATAAAAATAATCCAGGGTAAGAATATGAGGTACCCCACTACACTATTATTTGGTGAAACCAAACTGTTTGACATCCGGCAAATATACTGCTGCAACTTGCTAGTTCATCAACACATGAACAAAAGGAATAACGGATACCCGACTCATACTTACATTACAAGGTCAAAAAAAAAACATGCAAATAATATCCAAACAAATGGAAAAGAGTATCGGTCAAAAATCATTCGAGTAGGTACAAAGCACCGCGACTTTACAATCTTATGCCTATGAGACTCAGGGAAATATCAAATATTGTTGAATACAAAAAAAGATCAAAAGGTGGCTAACCGAGCAGGGCAGGAATTTGTATGACAAATTATAATTATGTTATATCACATTAGTATTATTAGTGTTGTTATTGTTATTTCTATTATTGTTGTTATTACTATTATTCTTAGTAGTATCATTATTATTATTACTAGTATTATTATTATTAGTAGAATTATTTTTCTTAGTATTATTCTCATTATTAGTACTATTAATGTTCTCAGTTAGGATTAGTATTATTGGTATAAGTATTTTTATAATTTTTACTTTCGTTATCATTTTCATTAATGGGCAAGTATTATTATTATTCATATTTTCTGTAATTCTATTACTGCTTTTATTATCATTACTATAATAGTGATATTTGAATACTGTCTGTAGTAATATTCAAATTTTCTTTTTTACGTTTCATAAACTTAGATAATTACCCAATTTATAAATGAAATATGGCTACTCGACGCTGGATAGGAATACTGTACATTCGCACTCAAGTCTGATCTAGACTTACGCGGATTATAGCCGGCCATACACGGAAACATTTTCCTACGAGGTTGGAACGTGACGCGCCAATCCTGCCCGAAAGAGCGCTCGTGTGTGTGGTGCAACGCGCCATTCCACGAGCCGTTCAGTCGTGCGGCGGTTGTGTTGACGCGTAAAACCACGTGCTTGGTGTTTGCAATTCTTTATCGTTTGTGGCGTCTGGTGCGCTTGGACTGATACAAAAAATGACGGATACGAGGTAAGTAAAATACATGGATGTATTATTTTTGTTCAAAGTTTCTAAACCTAGTAGAATCATGCTGATACTTATTTTTTCGTACAATATCGAAACATACATTTGATGATTTGATGAATTACACAACTGTGCCTTTTTGTTTCCCATTTATATCCCTAGAAAATCCATCAAAATTTTTGTTACAGGTACTTTTCGAAAGATTTCATGACAGAATTCATAAGAGTATATAGGGAACATACATCTTTATGGAAAATCAAGTCTAAAGCGTACATGAATAAGAATTTGAAGAATGTAGGAATAACACAATTGATTGAAGTGTGCAAGCAATTCCAAATAATGGAGGCGGATAAGAACTTCGTTATGAAAAAAATTCAATCAATTCGTGGATCATTCAGGAAGGAGCTGAAAAAAATTGAAGATTCGCAAAGAAGTGGGGCATCAGCAGATGACATTTACCAACCAACATTATGGTACTTTCAATTATTACAGTTTACAATTGATCAAGAAACAGCTACAGACAGTATTTCGAATATGGAGAGTTCAACCAGCGAAGTTGGTGATTCTTGTGAAGAAAGGCAAGACCAGCAAAGCAATAATGCAGCTCAGATTGAAGGAGAAAACTCAAGTCAGGAAGAGGAAGGGGAAAGTTCCCAAAATGAAGTGGACGTCACTGAGGTAAGAACAAATATATATTCCTATTACATCAATCATATCAAGAATTTCTAACTAAGCTTTTCCTTTTCTGAGCATTTCTTCTTGCCAGCTAACCTTTCCTTCACCCATGAAATATTCTACGTAGCTTTGTCTATTTTCTTTTGCTTTCTTATTACTGATGTTCCTTCCAGATGTCGATTGCAATCCAACAAGGCTAGAGCCATTTCCTCGCCATTCTGCTTCAATTATATTATTGTGACAATCTGCCTCTTCTCTATCAAATGAGGTGTTTGTGGTATATGATGGACTATGTCTTGTTAGAAAATTATGCAGCACACAGATAGCGCAAATGACATAGTTAATTTTTTGAGGTTCAATGTTGATACTTGTCTGAAGAATTCGGAATCGTGATGATATCAGCCCAAATGCGTTTTCCACTACATTTCTGGCACGAGAAAGTCTGTAGTTGTATATTCGTTTCTCATGTGACAGATCTTTTTGTGGAAATGGTTTCAAAAAATGTTCTCCCAAAGCAAATGCCTCGTCTCCAATAAAATTGAAATTGAGCTGTCTATCAGTTTCATTACATGTAGGTAAATTCAAATTACCGTTTGATAGGGCTTGATGAAACAGTGTTTGTTCAAATACTCCTGCATCCCCAACGCGTCCATTTTTGCCGACATCGACGTAAATAAATTCATATTTGGCATTTACTAGTGCCATAAGAATAATGCTATAGAAATTTTTATAGTTATAGAACTGTGCTCCAGAACGAGCAGGTGGAATAATCCTTATATGTTTTCCGTCAAAAGCTCCTCCACAATTTATTATTTGCCACCGTTCTTTGAACTCTGCAGCAATGGATTGCCACTCTTCCTTGGTTTTTGGAAACTATGAACAAAAAATCATACATAGTAAAATTCTCACAGAAATATTTCTTTTACAGGCATTTCAATCACCGGATACTGTCCCATCAAAGAGATTGAAGAAAAATAAATGTATTTCCAATAATGAATCAACTGCCAACTTCATGAAAGCCTGCATTGAGGCTCTTTCGATCAAGAGTTCAATTACTGAAGAATTTCAAGCCGTTGGAATGAATGTTTCAGCGAAATTACAAAAAATGAGATCATCACAACAGGTGTATGCTGAATATTTAATTCAAAAAGTGCTAACGTGGGGAGCATTGAATAAACTGACAGAAAATACTGATTCAATAAACAATATTCCATTTGCATGCAGTCCTTCTACAACTCAAGAACCTACAATTATTCAGGAGTATAACGTGATGCCCCCACCAAACACTGCTAGTACCAGTTCATCTACAGCTGCAAACTTTCTTGGAAACTTTTCAACTTTCACCAATATATGATATTGATTCAACCAATTACATTTGTTATATTATAGAATATTTTTTTAGTTTATTACGTTACTTGTGTTATAATATTTTGTTGATGTATATGATGTATATGAAATGACATCACATCGAAATAATATCAATAAATGAAGGAAACCTACCTGCATATATGAGTGTTTCAATGTATGATATATCACTTCGCAAGTTTCTGGAATGATATAACCCAATGCTTGAGCTGAAATGCCAGTTGAAAATTTTAAATCTTCGTAAGTTCTTCCTGTTGCTAAAAATCTTAAAGTGGCCATCAACCTTTCTTCTGGAGGTATTGAATTTCTCATCACAGTATCTTTTTTGGTTAAATCAGGTCGCAACATTTTTTGTAGGACATCAAATGTTTCAATATTCATTCTCAAATAGTTTTTGAAATCCTCTGGATAATTCTCTCTCAGTTCTTTTAGGAGACTAACGTGACTATATTTATGTTTCTCAAGTAACCAAGTCTTCGTCCAATCCCGTCTCTTACGTCTTTTTTTTTCAACCAAGCTTGAGTAAACATAAACCATAGATGCCATAGAACATGCAAGTACAGTTTTTTGTTTTTTGTTATTCCACATATTCCAGACTTGTAGTTTATGTATACGTTTTCACACTGAAAACTCCCGCTCCCCAGAGAAATTTTAGAATTCCTAAAATCCTACACGCCACACTATCCCGCGCGAAAACTGACGTTTTTCTTCCACTAACTTAAATACTTTTTCTTTCACATCCGTACCTGCCCGATTGGTGCGCTATGAATCACTTTACGTTAGTGGCCAAATCCTACGTTCCAATCTCACGAGCTTGCCCGCATACTTTCCTGTCACTCCAATCCCGAGGGAAAATGTCTTGGTGTATGGGCACCTATTCGCTAATTCATTTGTATTCAACTGTTTAGTTTCGGGTGGATATTATTTATGTATAAATTATGTATACTCTTGTTGAATATGAATAAATTATTATTAAATTATTATTATTATTAAAAAAACAGATTCAATAACATGGAGGGAGAAAAAAGAAGCATGAAAAAAGATTGAATTGAAATTCAATTCGTGTACCACAGGGCCGTAAGTATTGATTATTCTATAACTGCCTAGGTACCTGATTTATGTAAGTAACTTTAGTATTATTTGGTGTATTTATTTTGTTTTACAATCAATCATGGAAATACCTAAACACGTTTTTTTATTGATTTCAGCATCCAAAATTTCAAACAGTTGAAAAAAGAAATGATTCAATAAAAATAGAATTCTGAAAGAAACATTCTCAACATTTAGGTTATCTCAGAAGAACTGTGCCACCTCCTGCCCCAACAAACGAAGAGGGAAAAGTACTGGCAGAATCAATTGCTCTCAGTATACAAGGATTGTCGAACAACTTTGATTCTGATGGTCTTGTTGCATGCCAACCTACAGAGTGTTTTCAAATTGGGTCAATATACAAAGTGGGTGGAAAAACAATAAAAAATGGAGGCACATTTTTGTTAAAAAAAATTTATTAGGATACTAAATTTTGGAGTTTGCCTGGAATTTAAAATTACTGGTAGTACCGATGTATTCAACGGTGTAACCATATTGTTCAGTGATAGTTATATATTTTTAAACAAATATGTCTCCTCCAACACCCCATTTTATTTATCACACCAATTTTGGAAACTCCCTTATGCAGAAGCATATCATATGTCATATATGTCAATCTTGTTAAACATTTTTCAGGACATTGAATGGTATACTGATGGATTTTTTTTGAAAGTTCAATTGATATTTCTTACTTTTAATTCATCATTTTAGGTCACGAAACTAATTTTTATCATGATATATAGTAATAATTCAACTATACCTATCCATATTCAACTATACCTGTATCAATATCAAGTGAATATTCTTTGCAGTTGTGACAAGGAAGAATTCCATATGCCGCAATATAACTGCTGCAGAAATAGAAAATATAATAAAAGCCTGGTTTAGGACTGCAGCTGATCGTCAAGGAGGCCGGGATAGGCGGAGAAATCATGTGAATGATTAGTTTTCTATATTCATACACTAAAAAATGAAGCATGATTGGTATATTTTGACTAATTCAATATATTTTATTGTGTTCCTACTATGTGCTGTGGTAGCTTTTGAGTTGTTTTTTGTAAGATAAAAAGTTCTGCCAAATACTTATAATGAACCAGTATAGGTATTTTATTAAAATAATAAGCACTATAAAATTGTCGGTTTTCATTTATTTGCTGTGGTAATTACATAGACAATTTATTTCATGTATAAAAAAATTCTAGCCAAATAAATCCTCACATTTGAAATCATGACAACCAAAATTGTGAACAAATATGTAATGTCAATTTTTTGTCGACTTGCGTTGTGACAAAAAAAAAGTCGGAATTGGGGTCTTTGAGTGGAGAAATTAAAAAAAAAAACACCAACAAGATTGTGATTTAGGTACCTACATATTCATAAAATTGTCTTGCCGACTTACACTAGAGTTTTTTTGAGTCGAAGTGAAATTGCCATTTATAATTCGAATTTTGTTGCCTTTCACTAAATTAACTGAAAAAGCTGCAAAGAAATTACTCATCATCCTATGGACTCATATTCTTTCCGAATGCAATTTTTTTCGTTCGACTGTCAGGCAACAAAATTCTCATCCAGATGACAAGTTTACATCCACAGAAAAAGCTCTGGTGTAATTAAAAGTGAAAAAACTTGGATAATGGTAAGGCGGAAGTGCCGGAATGAGCGGAAGGGGGTCGGGTGGCAGTATATCTGGCCCTGCATCCTACCTAACTTTTTTTTACCTAATGCCAAAATAGGCCCATTCACTAAATATCGATAATAAATTTGAATAAGGTGGCACTATGCTGGGCCAACTGAAATAGTTGGCATAGCTCATATGGTCCATCATTGGGTCAATGATTACAGTGACGGCAAAGTGCAGATGCAGGCACGCACACGACTTATGACAACGGTCCATGATCCCCATGAATGGGGTATTAATTAAGGCCTTTCATTTGCCGCCTGAAAATGTTTGCTGGGAAGTAGAAAGTCCATTCTCAATCCCTTCAATAAAGTGGATGAAGAAGCAAAGGTCAAAAATCGTTTAGGTTTGATGAAAAATGCACTTGGTTTTTTGAACAGTTCTTATATTCAAAGCTTTCATGGAGATAAATCATTGAGGTTATATTTGAAGTTCACAAAATGTTGCAATATCCCTGGACCAATATCGTTTGTAGAATCTTGGACAAGTAGAAGGAGACCATTCATCCCCAAAAAGAAGTGCAGTTCATCAGCTTCTGCAAAATTCGAAATTATAGCTGAGAAAAAATGTGAATTGCTGGAGATCGAGACACAAATCGCAATAGAGAAAAGAGAGCAAAATAAAATAGAAGATGAGATGAGATTGAGGCTAATGATACTTCGAGAAGAAGAACAAATAATGAAAAATGAATTACTGAAATATGAGTTGAACAAAGTCAGAAGTTTAGAGGATTCGAACTAGTTGATTAATTATATATTATTAAAATAGTGGAGCAAAAGTTCTTTCCTAGCAGTATTAATGTTTTCCAATTCAGGAGGTTCTACCAATATGTGTCCAATGAAATTGATATTTTGCATATCAGGTCATCTGGAGGTTGATCTTCATTTTCACTTATGGCAATGTTATACAGAACAGCACAAGCCACAATGACAGTTGAAGAATTTTCCAATTTCAAACGTAGACACAATGCCAAAACTGGAAATCTTCTTTTCCATATGTCATTCTGTCGTTCAACAGGATTTCGTAGATAACGTTACCATACCAGATTCATTATAGACTTGTTGCAATTCATCAACTACTCTAAGTAATGGTGTTATAACATGCATCCCAGGTAACAAGCTGTCATTTATGGTCATTGACGTCATATGACCTCAAAATGACGTCATTTTGACGTACTTAATATGACGTTATACGTCCTTGATATGTCGTCAATATGACGTCATCTGATGGTCATTTTCATGACTAATTATGACCATCATTTATTGAGTCATCTACATCAAGGAAATTTCATAATAAAGAAGTTTCCCATCTCTGTTATATGAAAACGTTAGTAGTTATGTTATATAACATATATTATCATGTCACTCATCATATATTATGCTTTATAATAATTTTTCCTCTGATCTGTTCGAGATTTGTGTTTTCGATGGTCTCTGAGATAATTGTTAATTTTATACCTTCTGTGCAAAGTATTCTCCCTATAGCTATTGAAAATATAAAACCGAATTTCACGTCTTTGAAAGCTTATAACGTTGTAATTCCGGAATGCGAATTTAAATCAGTGCGGGAGAGTGCGTAGGGAACTGTACTTGATTGGTCGGCACGGACCTTGCGCAGACATGCGAACGTCGACCGCCAGCGCCAAGCCACAGCCGTCTTCAGAAGACGGCTGTGGCCAAGTCGTTCACTTTCGTTTCGCCGTTGCGGCCATGATGACCATAACAACAAAATAACAATACATAGAAGGCCATCATTATCATGGTATTCGGTTATCTATGTGGTGTGGTGTGGTGGTCATATTCATTCATATTCATGTATCAAGTAGTAAAATTTGAGGATGGCAGCATGGTCATTATTTTAGACAAGTGGTGTATGCCGAAAAAGCAGAATGTGAATTGGACGCCATTGAAGAAATACCATAGGGTTCAGAGTGCATCTTCCGAATAGGATAAGTTACCAATGAAAAGAACATTTTATGAAACTGGTATTTATAGTTCCTACCTATAATATCATTTTGTATTTGATGTGGTAAAGGAACATCAATATAATTATACAAAAAAAAATCTCATCTTTTCTGATAACATTGATATAGCACAAGATAAACTGAAACATGCAGAAGATTTCAGTGATATGAATAATCGTAAAGATCCGCCATTAGGATGTCGTCATTTTGACGCCATTAGGATGACGTCATTTTGAAGACATGAAAATGACGTCATTCGTCTTTGACTTAGAAGGTCATATAAACGTAATTATGACGTCATTTTGGAAGTCATCCTGACGTCAGGCCCGACGTGATAATGACGTACAAATGACGTCAGCTTGTTACCTGGGGTGGTATTGGCATATCAACTGTCCCCAACTAGCAGACTATTTCCAAATTCACCTCCTTCTAGGCACTGGCGTATATTTGAATTATCAAATATAATTTGATCATGAGTGCACGGCAGGCCAACGAGCCACAATATCAATAATTTTCAAGTCTGCTGAAGAGATAGTTTGGACATTTATGGGAAAATATCCTTCACGGTTTTCAAAAACTTCAGCTTGTTCATCACCCAGAAGAATTATTGAAAATAAAATATATTGACTACAGAAGATATCTGGAATAAAAGTGAGTGAATATACATACCTGGACTTTGGATTTCTGATATGAGTAGGTACAATATTTAGATCCAATGATACGAGGAAGCCTGGCTTTTCTATAAAACTCAAGATGACATTCTGCAATTCCTTGATCATTTGAGGGCATTTTTATATATATATAGGGGCTAGAGATGCCAAAGCCTGTAGACTTGCTGATATCAATCATGTTTCCTACGGTAAATGAAAAATTGCCAGTTGCATAAAATCGAAGGGTCAATAGCAATTGGTTCATTGGAAATATGGAATGGTTTCTAAAAAATGGTAACTTTATTTGATAAACGAGGTAAAAGATCAATTCGACGTAATAATACTAACGGAAACATGGAAATTGAACAACCCAAACCTATACAACTTGAAAAATTATAGAAAAATATATAACTATAGAAATTATAACCAGAATGATGGAGTTCTCATTTATGTTAAACAAAGTTTTGATAGTGAGTTTGAAATCAAAACAATTTCAGAAGTGAAAATAATGCGTTGAACCTTGAAAATTGATAATAAAAAAACAACAATCACAGCTATATACAAACCCAATCAAATAGATATCAATATATTCAACAATGAATTATCTGATTACCTAAGGAATACTGCAAAAAGTGACACAGAAATTCTCATTGGAGACATAAATATAAACCTCTTGAGTCACTCGGTCGAAAAGCATTACTACCTTAATACCTTGTATGACAATGGGTTTAAATCATTAATAAATAAGCCCACTAGAGTTGAGATAAATTCATCGTCATGTATTGATCATATTTTTTTCAGAAGTAAGTACATCAATTACGATACATTGAAACCAGTAATATTACATTAAAAAATAACGGATCATTACCCAATTATCGTCAAATATGATATTTCACATGACAAGCCTGATGGAGAAAATAAAACAAAACAATTTATAAATTATGGAAAACTGACGGAAATTTTCAGGAATCACACATTCAACTCAATATTAACTAATAATAACATACACCAAATCACTGATAATTTATCTGATCTCATTACCATTAGTATTGGAATATGTACAACAATAAAAATAATACCAGATGATCACAAAAAGAAACCATGGATAACACAAGGGCTGATAAAATCAATGAAAGAAAGAGATAATTTATATACAATCTACAAAAGATACAAAGACACCAAGTCATTCAATGAATATAAAACTTATAGGAACAAAATCGTCAAACTGATGAATGAATTGAAAAGCACATACTATAAAAATATAATAACATTAAATTCGAAAAATAGCAAGAAAATATGGCAAACTGTAAATGCATGTACCAATAAAAACTCATCAAATAACAACATCGATATTACAGAACTTATGAACGATAAAAACGAAACAGAAACTAACATGAAAAATATTGTTGAAATGTTCAATGAACACTACTCAACTATAGGGCAAAAAATGGCCCAAGATATTAAAACCGCAAGCGTACGTAAAATGCGAACGAAAAATGAAAATGGAAACAGCACAAACTTAAATTCAATATTTTTAAAACCAGTGAGTGAAATTGAACTAATTAATATAATATCTTTATTGAAAATCTACTCATCACCTGGATATGGTAATATAACAACAAAAGTATTGAAGGAAATAGGTCCATTTATTGCAAAACCGTTATGTCATCTGATCAATATGATGTTTACTGGAGGTGAATGCCCATGGCAATTCAAAATTGCAGTGATAAAACCCACATTTAAACAAGGAGATCACAAAAAGGCAGAAAATTATCGTCCAATCAGCATCATATCAAATTTAGCAAAAATTTTCGAGCAAGCACTGAAACAGCGTTTGGTAGAGTTTATGGAGAACCAGAAATTGCTAAGTAGTTCACAATACGGATTCAGACATGGAAAATCTACTAATGATGCCATTGCTTCATTGGTGACTAAAATATATTCGAGTTTAGATAGCAGTAAGCCTTGTGCTGGGGTGTTCATCGACTTGGCAAAAGCTTTTGATACCGTTAGCCGTAGCAAACTTTTATCAAAACTTGACGACATGGGTATTCGTGGTCCAGCCCATTCTCTGTTTCAAAGTTACTTAGAAAATAGACGCCAAATGGTAAAAATAAATAACACAATGAGCACACAAAAAAATGTTACCTATCGTATACCCCAAGGAACAGTTTTGGGCCCCATCCTGTTCATAGTTTATTTGAATGAACTTCTATCATTGAATTGCCACGGAACAATTATTTCCTTCGCTGATGACACTGTCCTCTTTTTGGAGGCCACCACATGGGTAGATTTAGAACATCGATTGGTAAAGGATCTCACAACCATAATTCAATGGTTCGATGAAAATCTCCTAACAATTATCAATAAAACTATATACCTACCTTTCTCGAATTATAAAAATACTCTACCAGTAAACAACAACTTGAAACTCTATTTACCATTCAGAAAACAGAACACCTTCACAATCCAGGGCGGAACTCACACCAAATATCTAGGTATATTCATTGACAACAATTTAAAATGGGACACCCACATTCAAAATTTAACAAAAAAACTAAGGTCATTGATGTATTTATTCAAGCAAATGACATTCATATTAGATACGAATAACTTGAGGGTCATGTATTTCAGCTTAGTCCAGTCACATTTGAATTACGGGATAATTGGATGGGGTGGTGCCTATGAAAACAACCTAAAACCGCTACAAGTTGCCCAAAAGAGAATTATAAAAATAATATACAAACTCAATGTACAGTTCCCCACAGATTTATTATTCAAAGATTCAGAATTACTCGATTTGAAAAAACTCTTATAAAAATTCTTTGTTATATTCATTGAAAAACAATATAATTGACCAAAATCAAAAATATTTATATCAAACTCGATTTCGTGATAATAAGAATATAATCTTACCAAGAGTCCAAAAGTCTATTGGACAACGATGCTTCACGTATATTGGTCAAAGCCTATTCAATCACTTACCACTCCAACACAAAATAGATTGCCACACCAAATCATTCAAGTATGCCCTATCACAGTGGCTGTTGACTGAAACGCTAGTATTGTTATAATTAATAAATAACTGTCTACCATCAGCATCACAATATTGGCATATACATATATAT